CTATGTATTATTATATAGAAGATGTAATAAATAAAGTATGTGAAACTGGTGTTATTTAATTATTTATTGCTGTAAATGTATAGAAAGAGAATTGAATAATAAAACAACTTTCCTCAAAAAGTTTCCTTATCACTAACAATGGGATGATACCATTTCTATGCAAAAATTACCCAAAATTCGATAGGTTCTGGGCAAGCTGTTGGTTTGTGACAGCTACGCGATATTGCAAGCTATTGAAAATTATTGATATGGACAATCTTTGAAAACGACTTGTTGTATTTGGTAGAGATAAAAAGAAAAAAAAACTTCTGATTGGTTTAGAAGTTTTTTCTTTTTCATTGTTCCTTTTTTAAGGTTTTAGTTTGGTACCAATAAGTCAACAAACACTAATTGCAAAAGAAAGGGTAAAGATATTTACACATATAAGCTTCAAGCTGCTGAAGTAAAATTTCCAGTTTAGTGATTTGTTAATAATATTGATATGCGTAAAAGAATAATTTATAATGGTTTAATCATACTTCATCTGTTTCCTAATAGTGATCGAATATATAAAAGTTTGAAGAATTTCATCGTAGTACTAGTAAACTAGAACTTATGCAATATTTCTGTCCGAAACTTTCATAAACAAGTTTAATTTGAAGCCATATTATTCATGTACTAAAGCATATATTTGTACGTTAAATCCTTAATTCTTTCTTTCTTTCTTTTTTTTTGTTAACAAAGTTTATATATATGAGACAAAATCAGCTACGAGTTAACTTGTGTTTCAATTATCTATTTTATTAAAAGATAGTGTATCTATATAGTTAGATACACGAATTGCGAAGAATAGGCATACAAATTTGTCATACATGTTTCGATATGACTCACGAAAAGGCTGATGCAATAGTTTGATGTATACGTATGCAAATTGAGAAGTACTTGATCAGACATATGTGATGCTCGAACTTATCTTTTTGTTTTGGATCATATATCGAATACAATGGTACTATAATTTATATGCTTTTTTTTTTCCTTTTTCTTTCGTAAAAAGCAATGTTAGATGCTAAATAAAGAGTTGGTTGATTGTGATGATATCACTAACTTTAGATCCAAAGTCAAGTAAAAGTGATCATATCTATAAATTCCAACCAACGTTAATCAGACGCACCTAATTGATATTTTCGTTTGCCAACAATATTATAATAAAATTCAACAAAACTACTACGAATCTACTACAGTTGTAAATTTTCTGTAATTTTTGTGGTGGGTTTACAAGAAAGTTCTTTTGTTCTAATATCATGAAAATTTTAGTGTACTGGAAAATTATTTAAAAGGGTTTCCTACATTTTTTTTTGTAGAAAAATAGTAAAATCAATACATATTTACTATTGCATTAAATATTAAAAAAAAATAATTGCTACCAACTTTTTGTAGCATATTGATCATAATTAATTAATTACAAGTTTTTTTTTGTTTGGCAAGTTTATAAACCTAATTTATGTGGAACAAATAAATGTAGAAATATTGTTATGGATTACAGTAGCATGTTATCACAAACAAATATATGATAAACATTTTTATTTTTAATATACTCTTGAGCTTTCTGATGATATTTTATGTTTTCATTAAAATATCGATGGCCGTACTTTTTTTATTTAACGGACTACCAAGTAAACATTTCTTTGGTTCATATGTATGTGATAAATATAGTGCGAATTGCGAGTTGTTATAATGTTAAAATATGTGGAGAGTAATACATGAGAAGAGTTAAAAGAAGCATGCCTAAGCCAACAGAGAGTGGATCCAAATGTTGCTTTCCAGCTTTATACAAACGTATCACCCACATTACTTCCACTGCTACATATATTGAAGGAGAGAGAGATGATGATCATAATGATAAATCGATGTCGATGATAAATTGATGATGATGGCTCCGGTATGTGTACCCTAGGAGTTGTAGCTAGCTAGCTAGGACCATGTATATACATACATACACATATTTTGGTGTTTTTGTAACTTGTACGTACCTTACATAGAGTATGGAGTTTACTAAAACGGCAACGTTTGGTGGGGGTAGTGAATTTGCAAGTGGGGCTGAGTCTATGTAATAGAAGATGCAACATGCAAATGGTCCCCTTTCTGTTTTTATTTAAAGAAATTAGTGTTTACTGAGGAGGAAACATCCCATTTATAGATTCACACCCATAAAAGCAAACCCCTTCTCTCTTTTTTATTTCCATGATATTACTTCGAGAATATTTTGAAAATTTGAAGTGTACATTTAGAGATTGTGTACTTTGAACACTCATGTCAAATGCATCTAAATTTTATAAACTCCAATTTGAAATAATCTTCTAAGCCATTGGTACGTACATAAGAAATAGCTAATACATAAAACTTCGATTTAGATATGGTAAAGTTTAGATAGTATTAGGCTCTGCTTTTTTGTGGTCAGGTCCTTCCTTGAACAGTAAGAAAGCAAAGGTTGCATGGGTTGATGTTTGTACACCAAAGAGCGAAGGTGGACTAGGGCTGAGATCCATTGAGGAAGCAAATAAGGTCAGTGTTTTGAAGTTGATTTGGCGCTTATTGTCGATAAAAGTGTCCTTATGGGTGGATTGGGTGAAAAGATATTTGATTCGTCATGGTTCTTTTTGGGCTGTCAAAGAAAACACAATATGCGGCTCTTGGATATGGAGAAAAATGCTTAAGTACCGAGACATGGCCAAAAATTTTCATCGGGTAGAGGTACGGAGTGGAGAAACCACGTCCTGTTGGTATGATTCATGGAATAACCTGGGTTGTCTCATGGAGAAGCTTGGGGAACGGGGCTGTATTGACCTGGGGATTCCTTTATCAAGTACAGTAAAGGAAGTGCTGACTATGACTTGCAGAAGGAACCATCGACAAAATATCCTTAACCTGGTTGAAGAAGAAATTCGAAAAAAAAGGTTAAACCAGAGAACACAGGACCATGATATAGCACTGTGGAAAGGGAAAAATGGCTGCTTTCGTAAGAAGTTTATAACAAGAGAAACATGGTCGTTGCTGCGTATCGCTAAGCCACCGATGGAGGGACATAAGGAGATATGGTTCTCTTATGCAACCCCAAAATATGCATTTATTACTTGGCTGGTGTTGAAAAACAGAATCTCAATGGGGGAGAGAATGTTGAAATGGAATAGTAATGTGAATCCAAGTTGTGTTTTTTGTAATGTACAGGTGGAGACAAGGGAACACCTATTCTTTACATGTCATTACTCAAAACAGATTTGGAGGACTTTGGCGAAGGGAATTCTCTAAACAGATTCTCGGAGAGTTGGAGTGAGATATTGAAGATCCTCGCAGAATACGTACTTGACAAAACAAAGAGCTTCTTGCTAAGGTATATTTTCCAGAATTCCATACACTCGATTTGGTGTGAACGGAATAGAAGAAGGCACGGAGAGCAGCCCTCACCGATAGAGGTACTTGTGAAGATGATAGATAAAAATGTTCGAAACCGGTTGAGCACGATCCAAGGAGGTGGAGACTTGAGATTTTAAGGTGGCATCCAAGTTTGGTTTGAATCAAGGCAATAGAGTTTACAAGATAAAATGTTCTATTCAATTTGTTTTTGAAAAAGTTAGCATTCTATATGTATAAACGTTTATTTTTCTTTTGAATTAATATAATTTAACATTAAATTTTTTTTAAAAAAAAGATAGTATTAGGTTCATAACTTTATATGAAGATACTTATGGAATTAGGTGACGATAATCAAAGTGCATATGCTAAGTGAGAGGAAAATTTCGTGTATAATATAAAAATATCATATATAAAATTTTAAAATCTTAGCAAAACATTTATATAAAAAAAGGGATGCCCACTTCTTTTGATATGGGGAGATTCGTTGAGCATCCATGTGCTCTTTCAATCGACACTCTTCTGTCTGTATCTAGCCAACCACATATACTTTTACACTAGAGAGCTTCGATGATTCTTTTTTAAAATCAATGCGATATAATATAATTAAGCATATGTGCATAAAAAATGAGGAAGAATGGTAGAGTCATGTTACTAAAGGTCATGAAGTTCGTTGAAAAAATGATAATTTATAAGATATGATGTGTGAAGTACTTTATGTTATAGCATATGTTACCACAACAAATTTAGACTTATTAGAATCCGGTTCTACGTATTGACCTATTTCGTTATGATTGTGGCCTTGTGGGAATGAAACGGTTTATAGTTTGATGTTTGGTTTCTTCTGATCAACCAAAATATAAAGTCGTGACTATAGTCGCGAATTAGTAGTAAGAAAATAAAAACCTATCACTATAACTTAAATTATGTGAAATATAAAAAAGAGAAAAAAGATAAATTTTATCTTTAAAAATATTGTATAATATACAGTTTTGTCTTATTTTTATATTTTCTAAAACTTTCTTTATTGTTTACGTCAAAACATAACAATTATGCTAAACAACCTAGTTTCAATAAAATGAGCCTATGGGCCTTTATGCATCTGTTAGGCTGAATTAATAAAATGGGCCAATGGGCCTATATGCATCTGTGTTAATTTTTTTTCTTTTTTTGTAATTTCAGGAGAAAATAATTTATGAAGCAATGCAAGTGGCTAATTATTTTCACCTAGATTCCTTCTCTTGACCGTCGATAAGACTGATGATAATCATGGCGTGGCACTATCGCAGCCGTCAAAATAAGTCAAGAGCACACAAAAGAAAACAAATTCAGTTGCGGAACCCAAATTCAAATCAACGGAATTTGAATCACGCTTTCAAGTCCGTAACCCGCCATTAAAAACCTTGAACCCTCGAAGCAAATCCAGTGAATATTTTTCAAATTTCGAATTTCAAATTCTCTCTCACTCTCTCGTTTCAAGCTTAGAGAATCCTAGTGCGAGAAAATGATGGCTGCTCTCAAGTAAGTGATTGATCTCTCTCTCTCTCTCTACTACGATTCTTCTTCTTCTCCGTTCATCGTTTTGGTTTTAGCTTCTTCTTAAGTCTCGCGTATCTGACTCTCTTCTTTTTGTTTTCCGATGATCCTGATATGTTTGCGTTCGTTCGGATTCATAGAGCTGAAGAAACGAGCCAGATGCAGCTCGTTGAGCGTGAAGAAATTGATGAAGACGAAGATCTATTTGAGATGATTGACAAATGTAAGATCTGAATTCGTTTTCTGCGTTTACGATTCTTCAGTTTTTCGTTTCAAATCTTCATCATCTGTTTGGGAATCGTCTCTCTGTGTTTATCTCTTCTAATTTTGCCCCAATTTGTTTATCTAAACTTCGTTGCTGCTTAATCGCTGGGTCTTATGAAATCAGATCTAGAATCGTTCCTCTAATCTGGGAAATATTCTCAAAATCTCTGTTAGATTTCGAATTTAAGTATGAATCTAGGATACATATCGACTTCTGAACATGGATTCTACTTGGTAGCGAATAGAGTATGGTCAAGTATCAATCTAAACCTATTTCGTGTACTGTTTATGAAATTTGAGTGTATATAGTCGTTCGATTTCTGTATCTGGCTAAAATCTCTAGCGGATTTGATCTGATGACTTTTGTTTTTGCTTGTGTCAGTGGTCGCTCAAGGTATAAACGCTGGAGATGTGAAAAAGCTACAAGATGCTGGGATCCATACCTGCAATGGTCTCATGATGCATACCAAGAAGGTATGAACCAGCTTCATTCATTGGTTATAATGCACTATGTAGATGATGGTTGCATGAGTCTATTGTTTGAACTTTTGATTGACGCAGAACCTCACTGGAATCAAAGGTTTATCAGAGGCTAAAGTTGACAAAATCTGTGAAGCTGCTGAGAAAATTGTGGTTAGTTTAAACGTTTCCAACTGTTGTTGTTGTATCATTGTAACTTCCTGCATTTGCTTCATTTTAATTGTCAAAACCTTTCTCCTTCAGAACTTTGGATATATGACTGGAAGTGATGCTCTTCTAAAGGTTAGACTCATTGATTTCACTAAGGTCTTGAAGTCTGTCTTGCATCTAAGTCCTGTTGCTTGATCCCACTAACAGAACTGTTAAATTTTGATGGCTTATTCAACATTTCATATTAGTAGATATTGAAACCTACAAGTTGTTTTTTTTTTTATAGAGGAAATCAGTTGTAAAAATCACTACAGGGTGCCAAGCTCTCGATGATCTCTTAGGAGGTATACTAAGTTTTGCTTTTAACAGTTTGACATCTTGATCACACTACTTAGAGTTCTGGTTTAATTATTTCACAATGCTTGGTAGGTGGAATTGAAACCTCAGCCATCACAGAGGCTTTTGGCGAATTTAGGTGAGAAGCAGCTGCACCCAGCTCTACAAGTTTCCTGTTGATAGCTTGTATTCTTATAAAGTTTAATTTCACTTCAGGTGTGGGAAAACTCAATTAGCACATACCCTTTGTGTCACTACGCAGGTTGGTTTCTTTCCTACAGTCTCAATATGAATTATTTGTTGTCTTGTTTACCTTTCAAAGGCATGAGATGAGATTTTACTTTCTTTCAGCATATAAACCATTGAGGTACTCTGTCTCTCACTGCCATTGGTATTCATTTCTGTATTTATGTCATGCAGCTACCAACAAACATGAAAGGGGGAAATGGAAAAGTGGCTTACATTGACACCGAGGGAACCTTGTATCCTTAATATCTTAGAGCAAATCTTCTGACCAGATCTTGTGGCTTCATTAGATGATTTCTATATTCCATGATTTTTCCTTAACCCTTAATTTTTGTAGCCGTCCTGATAGGATTGTCCCAATTGCTGAAAGATTTGGAATGGATCCAGGAGCTGTGCTTGACAATGTAAGCATTATTAACCTCACATCTTTACTTACTCTCAGGACTGCGATTGAGATTCAAAAATCTTATTCATCTTGATGTAACAGATCATTTATGCTCGTGCTTATACCTATGAGCATCAATACAACTTGCTTCTTGGCCTTGCAGCAAAAATGTCTGAGGAACCATTTAGGATTCTTGTAAGTAAACATGTCTGATCATTTTAGTTTAGTTATCCATCGAATATGAGCTAATTTAGCTGAGGTTTTTTTACCTTGTTTGCAGATTGTTGACTCCATCATTGCTTTATTCCGAGTGGATTTCACTGGAAGAGGAGAACTCGCAGACCGCCAGGTTAAATTTTCCTCCCACAACATTACTTACATAATCATTGACAATATCTGGCTTTGCTTAATAATCCCAGTTTCTGTGTTGCAGCAAAAACTAGCTCAGATGCTTTCCAGGCTAATCAAAATCGCAGAGGAGTTTAATGTTGCTGTCTACATGACTAACCAAGGTTACTTTACATTAGTTTGTTATAATGACATAAAGCATCAAATTCTTTTGGTTTCTTGGTTGCACTAACTTAACAATGATCATCTGTTTCATTTGGTGGTTTGCAGTCATAGCTGACCCAGGTGGTGGAATGTTCATATCAGACCCAAAAAAGCCAGCAGGTGGTCATGTCCTAGCTCATGCAGCCACCATCAGGCTCTTGTTCAGGAAAGGCAAAGGCGATACACGTGTCTGCAAAGTCTACGATGCTCCGAATCTCGCTGAAGCTGAAGCCATATCCTTTAACCAAATCCACACACACACACTTGTTTTGATTTGATTATTCATTCATAATACAATGACTTCATTTTTTTTCCTTAACAGAGGAAATCACAGTTTCCAGATTACTCAAGGAGGCATTGCAGATGCGAAGGATTAGAGAAGCGAACTCTTTGATGTCTTATTTACGAATTATGTCTGTTTTTAACTTGTTGCTTGTTTCTATTATGGGTAAAACCCCACAGGATTTTTACAAGGGGATTTATTTTAATATGCATCGAATCAGACGTTTTAGTTTAAGTCTTTTTATTCTTAGTTTCTTGTTTACCAAATAAGACGATCATTAGGCTTACAAAACCAATCTATGTATCTTATAAAGCTGCAAACAAAACAACTCTGGTTCGTTTGTAAAAAGACAATAATGACTTCATCACAAGTAAGAGTACATTATGATCATTGATTATTCCCAGCATTATTCAAAGTTAGTTTATCACTGATTGATCATCTCTCTGAATACTCGAGATTCGAGAATGTTTGGTTATCAATCGAGACCTATCGGTAGCAATCAAAGTTGTTTATTTACGAGATTGCTAATATTTTATCAATAATGACATCATATGTATGCACTGCAGAACAATAAGACGTTTATAAAATCATTTAGACGTTTATAAAATCATTTAGACTTGGCCAACAAAATTTAAAACTGCTGCAGAAAAATAAGAGCACCATTAGTCCCTTAAAAGGGCTCCAGTGAGAAATATCATGAAAAGAGTAAAGTGATCAAATCTCAAATCAAGAAGAGTAGACAGAAAGACATAAATCAAGAAGACTTGATCATCTCTTTATCCCCTTTTTGGGTTATGGGGCGTCATATATATGCTTTTCAAGAGTGATAAGTCTCACCATGTCTCGATTACATGGATGGTTTTCTAAACTGCATTGTCTTTTCCTTTTGCATCGTGCAGGTTGCTTGATTTGCACTAAACTTGGAACATAAGGACACACCAATGGTCAACTATCTTGGTGTGCAGGTTCTCCGAGATCAACATATCTAACGTATCCAGCTTCTCCAATGATAAGCGTTTTATCATACGTCAACGTTTTATCAAAAATCATGGCGACTTTGTTCACCTCGTCGACGAAGAAACTCCTTGCACCAGGATTAATCATCGGGTAGTACTCGCCCACATCAAAAGTCAAGAACTTGCTCCACGACACCTTATTGGTCTCAATCTTAGTCGTAATCCATACCTCAACAATATCATCGTGGCAAAATAAAGCAGCAAGCTTCTCTTCCCTAACACAAGATAGGGTCCAAAGGCTGTCACGTGTACCTCTAAACGGCAAACGCAGAAGCGGACCAAACCTCTCACTTGTAAAATCAAAACAGATGATGTGATCAACTTTGAGAAAATGGCATGGTTTCCTTGGGTTCCTTTCTCTAGCACACCAGTAAGTGTTTCCCTTAAGAGAAACGCCACGTTCATCAAAACTTATAAGCCAGTGTGGGATGACATCAAGAGTTGTCCATAAACCAGAATCAAAATCGTAGATTTCATACCAAAAAAAATTCTTTTCTTTGGTGAGGCCAGGGGAGATATAGAAATAATCTAAGAACCTCAAGAGTTTAGATGATTTCATCTTATTATTATTCTTGTAGTATCCGAGAGCATAATTGAACCTGCTCCATCTACTTGGGTGGTTAAAAAATCTGGTTTGGATCAACCTTGTTTGTCCCCAATACGGATTCCAAACCACAATCTTAGTATTATCGTCTTTCAAGATGCATAACAATAAACCCTCGCAATGAAAGAACTGAGATATCTTGACTTGTTCGCCAAGGCAACTAAGTTTACCTCTAATCTCTGTAGATGGTTCTCCTCCATTCATGGATATGCTCATCAAAAAAAGATTGTAATCCATCAACACGATCATCTGAGACTCGTCTTCGTCGATCGTTAAGCTTCGACTTTTGATTAAAGTTTCCCACTCTTTGCAGGTTAATCGCAATGCTCTCACATATTTCAACGGAATTCTTGAGAATATTTCCTTCTCTAGCAGATCCCTTGGAAGATCGGAGATCGTCAACGTCATTGTTTCAATAAACCTTTTGTCCTTTTCTCTTCCTCTGAAAAATCTCTCCCGGTCGCGGGATGTGAAAATATATACACACATAAACCCTAAAGAAAGAACGAAGTAGGTTTACATTTTTGTATTCGGTTTGTAGATTAAAACCGGTTTGCTTTTAGTAATTAATTAATTGGTGGTTTAAACTGATAACCGGTGATGGTTTTTTTTTTTTAATTAGGAAAACTATCACCGCCCTTGTTTTATTTTACTTTTTTTTTTTTTGCCTTTTTCTTAGTGGTGAATTTTCTTTTTTACGGTGGGAACTATAAAATCAATCGGTTTTTAGTTTTTTTACCCTAAACCCTAATTCGCCTCTCTTTTGTTATTCTCTCGTCAAGCATCTTCATCGTCTCAATCAAAGGTAAATTCATTCTTCTTCATCTTTCCTTTTGACAAATTTTAGAATCAAACTTTTTGTTCTTCATCTATGTTTTGTGACATCGTCTCTCAAAGTTTTAATTTTTGATGTATCAGATTCTTGTTGTTGCTTGAAGATGACGACAACTTCTCGTTTTTTCGCTCAGGTTTACTTCCATAGACCTTTGTTTACTTGTTAAAACCCTTTTTTTTATATATGTATTTTAATGATTTTTCTTTGCTTATCTTATGTATCGTTTACAGGGTGGAAGTGAAAGTGAAAGTGAAGATGAGAGTGATTTTGAAAAAGAGGTTGAGAGTAACAACATTCGTTACCTTGCAGACTTACCTGACGGTGAGTTTTGTTGTGGTATGGATACAAAACGTGTGGTTAAGCCAAGAAAAGATAAACGTTTTGAGGAGATGACCAACACTATAGAGAATATGAAGCATGCCATGAACATCAATGATTGTGTTTACTTGCAAGAAACGTTTGAGAAACTCAACAAACATCTTGAGAAAGTTATGAAGATTACTAAGTCTGTGAAGGCGCCGACTTTGTATATCAAAGCCCTTGTGCTGTTGGAAGATTTCTTGAATGAGGATAAAGTAAGAAAGATGAGTACTAGTAACTCCAAGGCTTTTAACTCAATGAGACAGAAACTGAAGAAGAACAATATGCAGTACCAAGAAGATATCAATAGGTTTAGGGAGTCTCCGGTAATCGAAGACGATGATGAGTATGAAGAGGAGCTGGAGGAACCTACTGATAATGTTTCTTGGGAGATGTTGTTTAGTTTAGATCATGAAGAGATAACTTGGAACATGGTCAACAAGAAGTTCAAAGAAATAATGGCTGCTCGTGGGAGTAAAAGAAGAAGTGCTAGACTTAAACTCAAAACTGGCGAGACTCATGTGGATAAGCTTATGGACTTGACAAAGATTGCCAAGACTCCTGCACAGAAGCTTGAAATCTTGTTTAGCGTTATATCAGCAGAATTTGGTGGTCTCAGCGAATACATGCCTATCGATGTCTGGAAGAAATGTGTGGTTAACATGCTTACCGTACTTGACATTCTTGTCAAATACTATAACATTGTTGTGGATGTTACCGTTGAAGCTAATGAGAAGGAAACTTCAAAGCCAGTGGATTACGATGGAACAATTCGTGTCTCGGGGAATTTGGTTGCGTTCTTGGAGAGGATTGAGACAGAGTTTTTCAAGAGTTTGCAGTGTACAGACCCTCACACCAATGAGTATGTTGAGAGATTGAAAGATGAGCCTATGTTCTTGGCTCTTGCTCAGAATATCCAAGACTACTTGGAGCGGAGCGGCGATTACAAAGGTGCTTCAAAGGTAGCCTTAATACTAGTTGAGTCAATCTATTACAAGCCTCAAGAAGTTTTTGATGCTATGAAGAAAATGGCTGATGAAGAAATTGAGGAGGGCAAAGAAAGTGGACCTATTTCGCAGATTGTTCCTCGTAAGCCTACCTTCGCAGGGAGCAGCCGCGCTATGATGGATACACTTATATCCTTTATCTACAGAAATGGAGATGAAAGGACAAAAGCCAGAGCAATGCTATGTGATATCTATCAATATGCATTAATGGACAACTTTGTGACTGCTAGAGACTTGTTGTTGATGAGTCATCTACAAGACAACATTCAACACATGGACATTTCAACACAGATTCTCTTTAACAGGACAATGGCACAACTTGGTCTTTGCGCCTTTCGGGTTGGAATGATAAATGAGTCACATAGCTGCCTCTCTGAGCTGTACTCTGGTCATAGAGTGAGGGAGTTGCTTGGCCAAGGTGTCTCGAAAAGTCGAGACCACGAGAAGACAACAGAGCAGGTAAATATTGAGCTTATAGTACATATTATCTTCTGTTACAATTTCTTAGAGTCTAATTTCTCTGTTTTTTAATATAGATGCTAATGGAGAGGAGAAGACAAATACCGTACCACATGCACATAAACCTCGAGCTCTTGGAGGCTGTTTATCTTACTTGTGCCATGCTACTTGAAGTCCCAAACATGGCAGCAAACTCGCATGATGCCGAACACAAAACGATTAGCAAGAATATTCATCGCCTGCTCGAGAAAAGTGAGAAGCAAGCGTTCACTGCACCCCCTGAAACTATACGTGACCATGTCATGGCAGCCACCAGAGCACTGACCAAAGGGAAATTCCAAGAGGCGTTTGAAGTTTTGAACTCTCTTGATGTCTGGAGACTGTTCAATAACCGCGATAGCGTCCTCGATATGGTGAAAGCTAGGATCAAGGAAGCGGCTCTAAGGACATACCTATTCACATACTCAAGCTCCTACTACAAGTCCTTAAGTCTTGATGAGCTGGCCAAAATGTTTGACATCTCTGAGTCACAGGTCCATAGCATTGTGAGCAAGATGATGATCAACGAGGAGCTTACTGCAAAATGGGACCAGCCAACTCAATGCATCATCTTCCATGAAGTGCAACATAACAGATTACAATCTTTGGCTTTTCAGATAACCGAAAAGCTCTCTACTCTAGCAGAAAGCAACGAAAGTGCAATGGAGTCTAGAAATGGTGATGTTGGTCTTGATATGAGTTCAAGGAGAAAGGACAACAGTCAGGACTATGAAGCAGCAGCATCAGGAAACAGAGGTCTGCAAAAGGATGGCTCAAGTCTTACCCGAGGCGTTTCTGCGTAAAGCAAATGTGGAGAAATCTGCAGGCAGTGTTAACCTTAGGCTCTTACTAAGAGTCTAAGACCTTTCATTATGTTTCATTACAGTTTTATGTTTTGTTTTGTTACCAAAGGTTGTTTAGGAATTGCTATATTGGAGCTCATGTTCTTGCAGCTCTGGTTTTATCAATATGACATCATATGCATACACTGAATCATTAGACGTTTATAAAATATTTTATTCTTAGCTTCCTTGTTACCAAGTACAGGTACAGAGCAATAAGACCACCATTAGTCCTTAGAATGGCTACAGTGAGAATATCATGAAAAGAGTAAATCTGTGGAACACAGCCACATGAGTCCAACAAGTAAAAAAACCAAACAAGCTTTTTTCAGCTAGTTCAACATATTAGCCTCAGATTTGTTTAGACCAATTCTGGACACTCCCAACCCTAGGCATCGCTTCTTTCTTGGCCTCGGAATCCACTTTAAAAGTTACACCGCAAACCTCACCTGAACTGTCTACCCTTGGTACCGGCTTTAACTCGTTTGATGGATGCTCATAGCTCCTCAATCCTCCAGATGAGGTAAAGAAACATCCTGCATTATGCATACACACAACCACATCCTAATTCATATTTGCACTAGATCAAAAAACATTGAAATAGTATCTTCAAAACCCGAAAAATGGTTTGCTGCGTACCTTTAGGGAATGGCGCAAAGGATCTACCACAACCCTTCTTCACAGTCTCAACATCATCAGAAACAACGAGATGGCCTTCAGCATCGGTACCCCAGTAGAGAGGAACACTCCCATCCACATCCTGCACCGTGCATAATAATAACTAACCTCAGCATTACAATATTTAGAGACAACAAATGGTAAAGAAACAAAATTCAAACTCACCCCAGCAAGGAAGACATTTTGTGTGGTGCAGTCATAGAGCATAAACGCGAATTTGCCTTGAAAATCTCTAACAACTTGGTCAGCAGAATACGGACCACGATCTCTTAGAGTTCTATAGGCTTCAATCACAATGGTAACCTCTGTAGCTGTTTTGGTTAGTCCATATTGTTGCTTAAGAATTGGAACGTTCTCTATATGTCCTTGGAAAATGCAGAACATATCATCCACCACAGCAAACAATCTGTCACACACACACACAAAATTGTATTGAAAACATCCTTTGTTATTATTACATCAAAACAAAACAACAGATCAATGTCTCAATCTCTCAGATTCATTGAACGAAAACAAGATAATCGAAACATATCCTAAAATAATAACCTTTGCAGGCCAGTGATCATTAAAATGGCAAATCTATCATATCTAGGACAGAACAAGAAAACATCATCGTGAGGAATAAAGTAATTTACAAAAACCTGGGAAGAAGAGGGTTCTGTTTCTCGAGAGAACAAGCAATGAAACCAGAAGATCCAAGATTGATGGTGACAGCGTCAGGATAAACAGAGGAGAAATGGTTTGGCAAGAACCTATCTTTAAGCGCACAAACAGATCCACCCTCTTGACTCTGCAGAGCCTCAGGTGTTTTCGCTACGTTCTTGTCGAAAATCGCCAACATTTTTCTTCTTCCCGATCACGCACAGTGAAACAGAGCAAGAGATCAAATGGTAAAGTAAATGACTTTAGAATCGTTGAACAGCCACTTCTTTGTGATGACACCCTTATTTTATAAACAAATGGCAATACTTCAATACGACTTTTTCGTTTCTTGGATATAGAGAGAATCATAGAATTATTCGATTTTTCTTCTCCTCCACGTTTTGCAGATATTTGTATATTATTTTAGTGGTGGTTTTATTAGGTATCATAATGACAATTAAGCCCAAAATACAGTAGTTGGGATTTGTCTATAAGGATGGATCTCATAACAATTTGTCTATGCTGAGAAAAAGTTAATGGTAATCACTAATCAATGAATCAGAAATAAGCTTTATCAAGTTCTGCATAAGTAAATTGAAGCCAAAGAAAAGTGTAGAAACCAAAAACAAAAAAGGGAGTCTTTCGCTATTGAAGCTTTTAAGTTAACTAACACTGTTTAAGATTGTGTTTTGATTCGTTCACCAAGCCAAACATAAACGGACATAAGACCTTGCTGATGTTTTGTTATGTTCAAACTCTGTTGTATGCGACCGACTTGCTAAAGAGCTTGCGGATGTAGAGAACTTGAAGTCCACTAGCTGCTGCAAGGAATATGTACTCTCCTACTGTGTACAATATCACGCGCTTTCTCGTGCTTTCATTCGCTGCAACCAAAGATTCATCACACAAAGCAATGTTAGATCGTATAAAGGTTGTATCTTTCGACATTCAAAGATCTCTCTCTATTCAAGAAACATATGTCTGTTCCAAATTCATTATATTATTATACTGCGTCTAAGCAAGTTACTCGGGTAATCATTGATCAAAGGAAAATGAGGCTTGGAAAACGAATGGAGAAAACTTACTATGACGGTGACGAGTATCACGTGCTTTCAAATACTTCTGCTCAGCAACAACAGATTCCAAAGCCTCTCTCAACTCAGCTATCTTAACATTTACCGGGTCCAAATGTTCTAAGAACCATACAAGAAAAGACAAACATAACATCACAAAACAGCTCAAACTCAATCCACAAGATACAGAAACCAATCACTAAGCACATTCTAATACCATCAATGAAAATGATCAAACATAAGGGAAAAGAAACGAACCATCTTTGGCTAAGTCATGCTCATTAGGAATATGACCAACATGAATATAGAAGGAGACAGTTTCAGGAGTAGAATAAGGATTGTGGAAACAAAATTTATACATTCCACTTCTTGGAGCCTTAAACTCAAACTTATCACCAGATGTTCCCTTTAAAGTTTGTACAATGTTCCCAGCTGGAGACGTCACCTACACAACAAACACAATCCAATGAATCAACACATTACCTAAACCAAATCTAATCCAATGAAAAAAAGATAGAAAATTTCCACAATTCCAATCAAACCCACCAAAATCAAGAAAACCCTAAATCGTAAAATCAATTCAAAGACCAGATCAGACCAAAATCGATCCGAAATTTCAAAACTTTGGGATTATCGAAGGAAACGTAACAAAGCTAAGAAATTTGGGGGAAAAAAGATCTCTAACCGTGAAATCTAAACCAGGATGATCTGATCCCCAGAAGATATCATGATCGACGACGACGAAGTTACCGGAAACAGTGTCGCCTTCGTAAAGGACGTATTCTTGGACACATTCTTCGTCGTTCACCGTTACAGAGAGCGACGAGATTTGATTGATCGAATTCAATAGAATCAGACCAATCAATACAAAGACATGGATCTTCGCTTGTCTTCTCTCCATCTTTTTTTTTTTAGATCTTCGATCAAAATTTTCCGTTTGTTTTCTCGAGAAACTTCGCCGAGTAGAGGAAGAAGAAGACAGAGAGGGATTTATTGCGCTTTAGATGACCAAACCGGAAATTAAAACCGGTTTATGACGACACGGGGAGATTTTATTGGTCAACGGCTTTTGGTCTTTAAAACTTTAATTTTATTGAGAAGTAATCACTAATTTTTAATTTAACTTTAAATCGACAAAACTTTAATTCAAAAAATGTTTGGGATTACACTAAAATAATTGATGTTAGTTTTACTTTTACAAAACTAAAAAAAAAAAGTCTGTTTTTTTGTGTATTTTGAGCTTTTTTGGGTTAATGTATACTTTGAAGTTTTATGATATGTGATTAAAAAATTGACTGTTATGTATGAATAATAACTAGCGTCAAAGTAGTTTTTTTTTTTTGGTCAACAATGTCAAAGTGTACTTATATTCTAAGAAATCATTGTTCAAAATCTAAAGAATCATATTTCCTTTCTTTGTGTTACCATTTAAAAATGAATCTTTCCAAATCTCCTTAGTTTGAGACTAGCAATTTTTCGTATGCTATCAAAGACTAAAATGATCAGATTGTCAATTTGGGGAGATTTGGTAAATTATGAGAAGCATACACATGTAAGAGCAAAAGACATTTAGTGAAGGTAGAATGTTATATGTATGGGCCTAATAAGCCCTTCACGGCCTGTTAAATGATGCGTAAGAGTAAATAATATTTATCAGGCCACTGAACATTCAACAAGATCTCTAAAGTCCAAACGGTTACAACTTTTTCTAGGCCTTTTTTGGCTTTAGGCAGTTAAATAAGAAATTTAGAACCGTAAAAAAAAACTGACGGAGCCAAGATCGGCCACGTAAAAAGGGACAAAGAGAGAGTCACGGACTCGGACAGAGGTAAGCATGGGCCTGTCTGGATCTAAACTTAGCTAAGTTCCAAAAGCAAAAAGAGATGTGTAATGAATGTAAAATCTTCTACAAACGAAAGTAATGTTAAGCTTTGTTTTGAGCCACAAGTTTTTGGGAGATGAAGATAATCTTTTTTACGTTTTTAACCAATACCACTTGGACAAAAAGTGAGAAGAAGCTATGACGAAGAAGGGAGACCACGTCATTGATTAAATGTTCTTGTACCTTCAAAAAGTTAAAGTTATGTTATACGTGGGGACAATCTAAGCAACGTGGTTCCTTTAAATATCGCAGCTTCCTCTTTTCCACTTTTTGTGTCTACGTGTTTTGTTTTGGACCGGCCAAATACACGATTCAGTTTTACAAATAAATTTGTATGTCCAAAAATCTTGGAATTGGAAGGGTCCAAATAAAATAATTAGCATGTTTCAGTTCATATGAATATGAAACGTATCTGAACTATGCACATTAATTTTGCATAGAATTGTCTTTTTATCGAGGTGATGTACTAAATGACTTCGTTGATCACTATACGTAATTACGTATACCAATAATTTTTTTTTTATATAACACGATATGACAAACCAAGAAATAGTTCTACACACTTCACTAAATTTACTCAATTATATAATTAATGGGGGAAAACTAGGTTACTATCTATTTGGAGTGTGTTAAATAATCCATTTAAAACAGTTTTAATAGCAAGTAGTGAATCTTCAAATGATCATTATGATTATGATTCATGTGTTATGTTTTTGACCGTTGGTTATTTTTGTGTGAACCATATAAACTTGACAAATATCGAAAGGCTAAATAAGTAAATAACTAAAAGAAACTTCAGGAAACAACTCGACCTAATGACCTATCATTTCTGATCACCCCGTCCTATAAATACATACGTAAGATCCTTCGTTACTCACCTCAAGCTTCTACAAAAGATCCAACTTAAAGTTCAATAATCTAAGTGATAATCACTTAAGCTACTCCAAGTTTCTTCTTTGTCTCACACAAGTATTAATAAGCTTTAGAAATGGCAACAGCATCGTTCAACATGCAATCAGTCTTCGCCGGTGGATTGACCACTCGCAAGATCAACACCAACAAGCTTTTCTCCGCCGGTAACTTCACTAACCTCAAGAGGAATTATCCGGTGGGAGTGAGATGCATGGCTGAGGTACGTTATTCTCCATCCACTTCCCTTGATCCAACGGCTATTCATCATATGACTATAAAATCCTGACCGTCTGATTGTTTGACTTTTGCAGGGAGAGCCCAAAAACGAAGACTCTGCACCAGCACCCTCTACCTCCGCGGCTCAGCCGTTGCCGAAGTCGCCATCCCCTCCTCCTCCTACTAAACCTAAGGTATGAATTTTTTAAGTTTGGTAACTAAGAATAATTTTTTTTTTTAATCCGTTCTTAAATATCTATTCCCATGTTTGATTTTATTTTAGAAACAACTCAACACTCTTTTCATTTCATATAATTATATATCTTACACTTCATACAACATCTTAAAAGAAAATTTGCAACACTTCACATACTTGATTTTATATCTCTTGACTGATAACGATAGATTTTGAGATGTCATATGAACTTTTCTTTTTAAACATCTAATATTTTTGTGCAAAAAATTGTTTATAGACTTTCTTTTTTTTTTGTGCAAAAAATTGTTTATAGACTTAAAACAGAAAAAATGTGCATATTAGATATGATTATATGAAAAAAAATATTATCTTCTTGAAATACATTAAACAAGCTTTATGTGTGAATCTTTTCGTCAATAACTTAATAATTTTTGGGTGGTGAATATAGGTGAGCACGAAGTTTAGCGACTTGCTAGCGTTCAGCGGTCCAGCACCAGAGAGAATTAACGGACGTTTAGCTATGGTTGGATTCGTTGCGGCGTTGGCTGTTGAGCTATCTAAGGGTGAAAACGTTTTCGCTCAGATCTCCGACGGTGGCGTCTCGTGGTTCCTCGGTACGACGGCGATCTTGACACTTGCGTCGCTTGTGCCACTTTTCAAGGGCATAACCGCCGAGTCCAAGTCCGATGGTATCATGACTTCAGACGCTGAGCTTTGGAACGGACGTTTCGCGATGCTCGGTTTGGTGGCGTTGGCGTTCACTGAGTTCGTCAAGGGTGGGACACTCGTCTAAGGAAAAAAAAATACTTTATGGGGAGGATGTTTTATTACGATTTTGCCCCTGTATGTCTATGTAAAGTAATTTGTGTTTGATACGTATGTACTAGTGACATTTTGAAACTTTGGGTTAAAAACACTTTAAATTAGTGGTGTTGTTAGAAACGTTACGCGTTCAGAAAAATTCAGAATTTATAGCCATACAAAATGTGAATTACAAGGCCAATTACATAATCTACTTTAATGGTCTGTCATCATAATTGCACACCTAAACAAATAATACAATACACGAATATTTCACCTACTATGGAGTTTTGCATTTAATGCTCATCTAATAATAGAAGAAAAAAAGCAATTCATAAAGTAAATAGACGTTTATCATTTGCCAACGAAACAAGTGGGAAAATGTTTCTGAAATTAGCTGAGTGCCTGAGCATGAGCGATCCACTATAGGATTTTGAAAGGCGGAATAAAGATGATACAGAATTCGAACATATGGTGGTGTTAATTGAAAATATTCTATCAAAAAAACAAAAAAAATGGTGGTTATTCAAAAAAACTTTTAACATTTTAGAGTAAATAATAGAATTTTACATTGAAGATGGTCTAAAGTTCACAAGATAGGGTTCATATTGCTTTTTTATGTTTGGATATTCATTTGTGTATACGTTCGAGTGACATGCATTAATAATCAAAAACTGTAATTTTAAAGCCAAATTTATCTTTTAAAACTGATGGACTACCAACCTCAATCATTACTAAAGAATTTTGTCTAACTAACCGTTGATTTAGCGATTCAAAATAGATTACAATACTCTATCTAGCGATTACCATACTCAACCGCTGATGGTACTAATTCTCATCTAGCGATTCAAAATAGATTACAATCATGGACAGTACGTAGTCAAATTCCTCTCTATGGCTGGTCATAAGCATCTCTTTACATATCACATGTTATCACTAATATAAAGATTATGTTTCGTGTTTTATATTTACAATTTCAAAATTAGTGTATAAAAAGCTAAAAATATTTCATTTTCAATACATAAAAGTATTTATATGTAAACACAAACATAATTTACGTTTGAAATAATAATACTCTTTTTGGTCATAAAATCGGTACCTAGTGGACCAGTGGTTCACATTTAAAGAGAAACGAGCATGCGTGAAGTAAAGTAAATGGGCCATATTTTAAACAATTGGGCCAATAGCTTCCATTTCATTTACTAAGCCAACTTTTAGAACAAAAAAATATATTCTTTAAATGCAGGGATATAGGCATATAGCTTCACATTGAATTAATTAGTTATGGATTGTTCTCTTCTGTATACCAATTTCCTAATTAAGGACTTAGATTATTTATACGTTTCACGTGAGATCATAAAGCAGTTTGATATCAGTAGAATTTACAAGTAATCAAAAGAAAAGTGTGAATCTGATATGGGCAAAATTCAATAAAAAGCCTATAAAAATGTTATCTAGCAATGAAGTGATTCAGTGAGTCATGCAAAAAAAAACAGCAGAGCACGTGTATACGCAATCTTAAATCAACAGACAGAATTTACGTGACTCCCACTTACCAATGTCGTTTGCTTTCTTTCTTTTTTTGTCCATTCCATCTTTCTGCTGTTGTTATTTTTAGTTTTTGTTTTTATATAAAGGATTTATAAGGATATATGATCTAGTAGAATTTGTAACTAGATTTTATTCTTTGTAACTATGTTAGTTAATTGCCAACTTTAATTCTTTATCACTATTTTAATTGTGCATGGTTCACTTTTATACTTTCTTTTGCTCATATATGTTATTAGGGTTAATTAGTTAGATTTACCTTTTTCGGAAGCTTTATCTACAAAACAATAAAAATGATTCGGCGACAAACCTGTAAGGCTGTAAATAAGAGTTTCTTTCTTCTTTTTTTTCATTTTTGGCGTGTGATTTAAATAGCTAGTATGATATCATGTAATTAAAAACATAAATCTATGTTATTAAGAAGATATACACAATAAATAAATCAATTTATTTACGATTTTTGTTATTCCTCTATTTTGCAGAAAAACAATGAATAATTTGAGTATCTAGTGTATTTTATAGGTTTTACATCTTGCCATATATTATAACAAAAATTTATTGCTTTATCGCTTTTTGTTATAAAGTATAACGATTATAGGAATAAATATAATTATACTCTCAAACATATAATATGTTAAAGCATTTGGAAACAACATTACAACGTGTTTTTTTAGACAACTATCCGCCACTTCAAACATAAAACGGCAATCATTATTTTGTTCTTATAACTATATTTTTTTTTGTCGACCATAACTATTTTATTTAACAGTTTTTTAAAATGTCTTTAAGTTTTTTTTATAAATAATTCTATTTAATCAAATTGTTCGACTAGTTAGAATAATCATCGAACTGCGATGATAATTATTTTCCTTCCTTTATTAATCATGCTGTTTTTTAATTAACTGCTAGCTTCTGTTTTGATAATCACATCCATAAAAACAGACCAAGCATATTGGATCTGATGGTACCTATTTCGGGAAATATTCAGACAATGATTATTATGACAAGATCAAAAGCCTGTGGATAGCTTGCTCTTTCCGCAACACGAGAAATAAACAAATAAATACAACTGAACAAGACCTAGAAGGTGCTTGTGAGAGATACCACCAATTGTCAAAATAAAAAGTAAATCCCAATATATGAAAAGTGTTAAAATGAAAATCTCAAGCCGTGTTTCTTTTTTTTCTTTTTTTTTTCCAGTCAACAAAAGAAGAAAAAACATATAAAATTAGAACACGGCTCGAGCCGTGTTTCATGTCGGTTATATTACTTTTCTAACAAGTCGACTGAGCATATATAAAAGGATAAGAAATTATGAATCGACATAGGTCTAACTATCAATTGGTTTTTTTTTGTTTTCTAAATTATTAGAGCGATGAGATTTATTTTTGTGGCAACTCTTAAAATCCATTAGACCACCACGATATTTATAGTTGACAAGTACAGTTATCTATTTTGGCTATTCTCGAGTTGTTTTACCCATTAATTGAATTGGATCATCGGAATTTATATCTTGAAATTAACTCATTATGTATACACATATCATAGCATATAAGGAAATATTTTAATTTTTAACTTAGTCAAATAATATTTTATCGTCATCAATATATGCTAATTAATTAAAAATGATGGCAAAAGAAAACATATACATATATACTAATACTAATTAAAAGTTGAAGCATCATTATAAGTTATATGGTACCGAACAATGATACAAGTTCATGTAGTTTCATGTACAGTGAATTCGTGTAGTCATTTGTGTAGTTTTAAACTGATCGCATTAGTTCATATAGCTAGCTTTACCATGGACTTGTGTACATAATTTTGCACTAGCTAATGCTAAATAAATATTAGTAGATAAATATAATGTGGGAAGAAGTTGGGGTACACCAATGTAGTGTTTGAAACTGATGCAAATTAAGGAGGTTGTTTTGGATGTTGATGCACTAGAATTAATCACGGGCTTCTATGAACGATCTTGTTCACGAAATCGAAATGATTCGACAAGGATTCCATCGAATGAAGATACAATTCAACTATAGAGCTTCTAATCGAGTAGCAGACTGCTTGGAAAAACATGTGATTATCGATTCTAGAGTCTCAAGTTGACAACATTGTGTAATGCAAGTTGATTTTCCAGTCTTACAAAACAATTCTCTTTCATGATACTGAGATGTTGAGTTAAAAGAACAATCAGATTAAACACAAATTTAAGATAGTCTAATAATCATACAAATATGTCGATAATTAATATAATTTCTTAACAATTTCTATATCTTATAAGAATTTTATGTTGGTTATTAAAAAAGCAATTTTATTTCCAAAAAATAAGTCAAAAGAAACAAGTAACAGATTTAACCCCCAAATGGCCAAATTCATAAGTTAGACCATGACTCACTTAATTGAAACAAAGCCAAATTACTAAATTGAAAAAAGCCAAATTACTACTAGGAAACAAGTTGATTTAAATGCTTAAAGTAGTCATCATTTCAATTTCTTCTTAACTAGTGTGTGAACTAGAACCCAAATAACCAAGTTGCTCAATTAACACATCAACATTTTCTTGATCTCCTTCAAAATCAAAATTTTGACCTTCATTTAACAAATCTTCCCAAAAAGCTTCACCATAAATCTCCTTGTTCTCCTTTTGGTACCCTTGTTGTTGATCTTCTTCTTCTTCCTCACCATTTCCTCTTTCCACATTCAAGACTTCTTCCCTAGTACTGGAATGATCTCCAAGTCCTTGAATGTGCATAGCAAGTTTGTCCAACTCCGACATCTCGAATTCAGACATGTTTCCATATGTTTCTTGACTCATATCAACAAAAGCCGAGGCTGAGGCTGAGGCTGCAGCATCATTCCCATAACCACTTGCATCATCATAATCTCCCACATTAACAACATTTCTTTTCCCTTGATCGATCGGTCTTTGTCTCTTCTTGCTGATCGCCTCTTCTATCTCCTTCCTCTTCTCCTTCTGCTCTACGAGCTGCTGAATAAAATCCGGATTCTGCATTGCCCGGGCGAGGAAGCTCATCATTTGTTTTTGTTTCGATTCGGTCTTCTTGAGCTTCTCTTCAATCAATGTGAGATACATTTTGGTGCTTTGTTGTTGTTGTCTCAGTCTCACTAACTCCATCATCAGCACTTGTTTGTCTCGCCTTAGGCTGTCCATCTCTCCATCTAGACCATACCTACCGACTTCTATGCAAAAATTGTCTAGAGATTGTTGTTCAGAACTTTGAGGTTGTTGCAATTGATTACTATTGTTACTTGTTTTTCTTCTCCTTATGTTCTTAAGGAGATGCTTTTGCCCTCTTAGAAACCCTTCATTTGCAAACTCCCATCGATCCGGATTCACCTTTCTGAAACCCTAGATACATAATTTTATGGTTAGATTCAACTCCAAATTTGAACTCGTCTTAATCAACTTTTCTTATATCAAAAATCCAAAAAATATCATCAACTCTACCATCTCGTTTTCTATCTTTTGTATTTTATGCTACTAGAGACCAGAGTTTCCACATCGTTGGTGTAATAAATTTTATATAGAGAGATAAATTAACATTTTAGTTGCATATCATATCAATCAATGTTGTAGAGATTTTTTTTGGAT